TCTATATATGTTAGCCTTTCTTTTATATTTTGTATCAGCTTATTCTTTTCTGGTGATTTCTGAGATTGTGTGGTCTTTCCAAATAATAAATTCTTATTTTCATAAGATTTATATGTCTGCTTAACCCATCTATTGTATTCTTTATGTCAGCTATTATTTGGTTCACATGTAATGTTTTCTCTTAATCTCTATTTTATGTGGTTATAAAAATGAACAATATGTAGTATTTTTCTAAAAGATTGTTAGATATTGTGATATAAAAAGAAATGTATATTTGGTCTCTGCCCTGGTTTCTGGCAGAGAGCTTCTAAAACCTTTGTAATTTTCTGAGCGATAAGGATACTAAGTGCTTTTTTCTCCCTTATATTTGGTGTTTGACGATGGTTCCTGACACAGATTCTAATCCCTTTGAATTTCCTGGGTGATAGGAATGTCTTTTTATGAATGTGGCAACTCTTGTTGGGCTCCTGGGTGGGGACTGATCACCAGAAAGAAGCCATGATGACAAGCTTAGAACCTTTAGTCCCTTCTCCTGGTCCTGCAGGAAGGGAAGGGAGACTGAGAATTTAGTTAATAATTTCTCAGGCCTATATGATGAAGCCTTCCTAAAGATGCCTGAATTACGGGGTTCAGAGAGTTTCCAGGTTGGTGAACATGTGGAGGATATGGGAAGGTGGTGCACCCTAAGAGGGCATGAAAGCTATGGAGCTTTCCACATATCTTTCCCTGTTTATTTGTGTCCTTTTATAATAAACAGGTCAATGGAAGTAAAGTGTTTCCCTGAGTTATGTGAGACATTTTAGTAAATAATTGAACCCATGAAGAAGGTTGATTTATAGCTGGTGGGTCAGAAGCATAGGTAGGACATCCTCGGATCTGCAATTGACATCTGAAGTAGGGGGCAGTCTTGTGGGACCGAGTCCTTAATCTGTGGAGCTTGCACTAATTCTAGTTACTGTCAGGATTGAATTGAATTGTAGGATGCTCTGCTGATAGTGGAGAATTGGTTAGTGTGGGGGGAAAAAAAGAAAACCCACACATGTGGTCACAGCAGTGCTCTGTGTTTTCCATGGAATACTATTCCACCATAAAAAGGTACGAAATAATGTCTTTTGCAGCAACTTGAATGGAGCTGGAGGCCATTACCCTAAGTGAAGTAACTCAGGAATGGAAAACCAAACATCGAATATCATCTATGTTCTCACAAGTGCTGTGTGTTGGGGGCTAAGCTATGAGGGTACAAAGGCATAAGAATGACATAATGGACTTTAGGGACTCAGGGTGGGGTGGATGGTTAGGAGGGAGTGAAGGATAAAAGACTACTTATTGGGTGCAGTGTATGCTGCTTGGCTGATGGGTTCACTAAAATCTCAGAAATCACCAGTAAAGAACTTACCCATGTACCCCAAAAACTACTGAAATTTTAAAAAAAAGTGTTCTGTGTTGAGAGAATAGTATATGAAAACAGTTTTCCCCCCTCCTATTTACAGATTGTATACATGTAGTTAGTTTTCAGGAAACACATATAGATCTAATTTAATACTTTAATTACCCCTTTTAAATTCATATTGTGTTGTAGATCTTTGCCCCCTATTATGTAATTTAGGCTTGAAGAGAATAATTCTTTTGCTGTGGATAGTGGGGTTGAGAGTTGTGTGCCCTGAAAAGATACCTACAAGGCCTTGTGCCTGGCACCAGTGAATGTGACCTGATTTGGAAATAGAGTGTTTGAAGATATGATCAAGTTAGGGTCATACTGGATTAGTGTGGCTCCTAAGTTTAAAAGCTGGTGTTTCGTTAGGAGAAAGAAGGGGGCTATTTGCGTACAAAGACACAAGGAGACAAAGAAAGAAGGCCACGTGAAGACTAAGTCAGAGATTGGAGTGACGCATTTAAAAGCCAAGCAATGTCTGCAATTTCCAGGAACTACCCAAAAGAAGCAAAAAAGAATTCCTCCATAGAGCCCTCAGTGGAAGCATGGCTTGGCATTACTTTGAGCTTCCGGAACCCAGAAACAATACATTTTTTTTTAAGCCACTTAATTTGATTTGTTATGGCAGCTTTAGGAAACACCATGGAAGGTGTTTTTAATAGTCAAAAGCCCTTCCAAGCCATACACAGATTGGCTTGGAAGGGCTTGAGTTTCAGCAAGTTTGCATATAACGGAACTCCCTCAGGTACTGCTCATCTTTTATTTCTCTGTGGAGAGGAACTTCATTACTTACTTAAATCTTATCAAAATACAGGCTTTGTTTTTTTTATTAAAGTTCCTTTCATACCTCCAGTTTTTTTCTAGTTATTTTTTTGTTTTGTTTTTAGTGTTCTCTTGTCTTTCATCATTTTTCTGACACTTTATCTAAAGGAAAAGGTAGAAAATCATAAGCACTGTGTCAGAACACAGGCAATGGGAAAAATCGGCCTCTGAGTTTCTGATTTATCTGCATAGTGCCTGTCACAGACAGGGTGGTAAAAAAAGAGACAAATGAAAAAAAAAAAAAACACTCATTGTATTGAATTTCAAGTTAGTAGGGTGTGTGTATACTCACAACAGTATAAAACTACGTGAAAACTGCATGAATTGTCTTTTTGTAATTACCGGGACATGATTTTCCTTGTTTCAACTTAAATCTGTAATTGAATTTGTGTTCTTCAAAACACATGCCACCTAGCTCCTTAGCAGTCCACAGATAGGATTAGATACAAGTTTGTTTTTCCTGCAGTGTGTAGTTAATCATATAATCATCGTCATTAATAATAGTACTTTCAGTATTACTTTGATAATTTTATAATTTGTTAACATTTTTACGCATATATTATTAACCCTGTGGATTATTTATCATATTTGATTTAACTTACCTCTCATCTAGGTATAGAAACCAAGACCCAAAACTATTTAGAAACTTTAATCTAATTCACAGAGTCCACATTCAAGGACCTGTACAACACAGTACTTCAACAAAATGTTGAGAACTGTAAGAGATACCAAGAGAGTCATATGTGTCTTTTTGCCACATTTCTGGTATATGTCATGTACTATTGTTAATGAAGAAAAGATTTTATTTTTCATGCCCCAAAAGTCTGTCTCATTTGTTTTGCATTATATAAAAAAGTGTACTACTGCCAGTAGACTAATGGGGAGAACTCTAATTGGGTGATGAGGTGTAGCACTTTTTGCAGAAAATAAATAATTCGCCCCAATTTCTCTGGCAGGGTAGCCAAAATGAGACAATCACTTTGTCAGTGATGGACAAAAAAAAAAAAAAAAAGGAAACTTAAAAGAGACTTTAAAAAGGTCTTATTTTTATTGACATTATTGATAATGTAGTTAAGTTGCATTTGTGACTTTAAAGAAATTGACTTTAAAGAGATCGAAAACTATAGTGGAAGAAATGTTGGATCGGTCCTTATTTTGAAAAATGCTTCCAAGAAATATGCTCACATCACTAACACATTGACAATCATCATTTGTTGGACACCAATTGTTTGTACTGTATTAGCTTATGACATGAATTTGAAATATTTTAATACACCTTGGAAGTTATTGAATCAATAAATTGGTTTTCCATTTGAATTTTGTATAGATCAAAAGTATTTTCATGCTTTTAATTTTTAAAATTTTATATTCCAAATTTTCTTATGCTAAAACAGCACCTACATCCTTGCTATTAATTGCCTTCTTTCTTAGTGATGACCAGACCAGTAAAGAGGAAAAATAATAAAAATGGTATCAATACAACACGAACCGATGCAGTGAAAATGCACATGATAAGATGAGCTGCATGAGAGGAGTATCAAACAAGCTTATTTTTTGTGGCTCCAGGCTACCTTGCATTCCAGTAGCCCAGAACTTGCCCATTGGACTATTTGTATTTTGCCTTTTATCTACAATTTTTCATAAATCTAAATTTTTACTATATTCTTTATATAATAACTTTCAGTGAAACTGAATTTGCTAAGGCCTACTATGAATTTTCCTGAAGACATATCTATTTGGAGCTGTGAAAGTTTAACTGAACCTTTTCTTTTATGGCATATGGCCATCATATACCTGTATAATGCTGAGATGTCAGCCGGAATTGCCATCTTGAAGTATTTTCTAGGATTATGCCATAGTGAAAAGGAAGAATAAGATCTTATGTATGAGATTTTTCTATATTACACTGATGACTGCCTTCAAGGAAAACTCCAAACTCATCCTATTCAGGATTCTGAAAAGATCAGTGTCACAATTATATTATAACATCAAACATACTAACTTGCTACTTACAAGAAGTTTGAAAAAGAGAAAAACGCAACAAAAATCTTTTGTGAGAAATTATTGCACATGTCATTGATAAATTCAACCAAACTATAAACAAAGTGTTTATCTTTAATTGGTATAATTTGCCAGAGAAGTGGCATTACCCTGATTTAAAAAATTAAATTTCTTTTCAACTTAACTACTTTTATTTAGTTGCAAGTTTAGTGTACTGATTGCTTTTATTTGTATACATTGTACTGAAAACTAAGAAAATGAACCCATACTTTTCATAGGCACTGCTATTTGAATTCCTTGTAAATCACTGAAGAAAATGCATCTTAAACTATTCTCTCTCATCACTTCTTCATGGTTAAATGTATAAGCATTGTAAACTGGTAATAAAAATCTTTTGGGGTTTGATTTAGTAAATGTAGAGGATTCTTATTCATGAAATAATCTCTTTCTGAAGTTGGTAAACAAATAATATGTCATCACATAAAAAATTCTAGAAATACTTGTTTAATAAATAACATTTATAGGTAGATTTTCAGAGTATTTTAAGAATAACTTCTTTGTAAATTTAACCTTATTTTTGCTGATACAGAATTTTATGATTGGATTTGCATAATAAATATTTTATTATGTAAATTTATATTATAGACCATGATTCTGTCTACTTCTACCTGAAAGAAAAAGTGCTCTATAGATTTTATTTATTTTTCTCAATCCTGCTGTCCAAACCCTCTTGAAATTTCTTCAGTCCCAGACTTGCATGAGCCCTGGAGAAAAGGTCTGGCTTCTGGGTTGCTGTGTCACACACAGTCTGCTTGCAGGATGACAGAGGAAGAATGAGTCATGATCTCTGCAAGTGCCCATCAAGAACTGCCTGACAGGTCTGGGAAGCATTCACCCTAAGACCTTTCATGTCCTTATTAAAATTGGATGCAGAGAAAATGAGTCATAGTGAAGAACAGGCTCTATAAAAAGCTTTTCTTGCCTTGGTATCAGACAAAACATTTTATTTCAAGGAAGAGGAATATAACATAGTGGTTAAGAGCATGTGCTTTGGGATCACATGGCTCAAAGTGTAGACCTGACACAGCCAGTTAACTCTGGGCTATTTGCTTAACCTTTCTTTAGCCTTCATTTCCTTATCTGTAGCAGAGCTCTGAAATAATACCAACCTCCTAGGGTTGTTCTGAAAATTAATGAGATAATGCACAAAACAACTTAAAATATTTGGTACCATATAGTAAGAACTGAATAAAGAGTGTCAGTTTATTTTTGCTCTGATACCATTATCATTCGTATACAGAGGAAAATACAGGAGAAATAGAGTCCCTCATGTTCTATAATTAGAAACACATCACTGACAAGAAGGGCAATTCAATATTTATTATGAATCATAGTATTAAAATTAAGGTACTATCTAGGCACTTTTCTCCTAGTAAAGCTCCTTGATACTCAAATATATGCTACTAATATAATTCATATTGCAGAGTGAAAGCAACAATTTTTATTGGGGTGATAAAAATACCACTACTCTAGAGGCTGGCTGACTTGACTGAAATACACAGTTTGCAAATTTTCACATCAGCTCAAAGTAATATTTCTCAGAGTAAGCAATGTTCAGATGCATGGAAGTGGTTATTGGCTTCTGAGCAGTGAATGTCTTGAGCATCTTATTTCCTTAGGTTTCCATATGGTGAAGTATCTCTAAGGAGACACCTTTACCACTTACAAAGTCTTTCACTGGCCTAAATTTCATCTGTAAATGACATATTTTAGATAACAGAGGCAGCTCTTCCTTTTATTTTTGTTTCTTATTGCATTTTAGAGAATGTTGAGGAAAATAGTGAGGTATCTGTGAAAATTTTTTAAATATTCATAATGTCTAATCACTCAATATCCCTTTTCCATTATGATTTAAGCATCTCTGTGAGAGGTCATTTTGGCTAATAATTTTATGTTCTAACGTTCATCATCTCTGCTCTCAGAATGTGATGAAAATGGCTAGGAAAGAATGTAAAATTGTTTTGAGTAATAGAGGATTTAGGATAAAGTATCTCTATCAAATTTTGACTGTTAAAAATATGGCTCAGTCAAAAATAGACCTGTTCTTTCTGTTCAGCAATTCCACTTTCATTTTTAAAAAACTAAGAAAGGCTATTGGAAAGTACCATGCATAGTTTTACATTTGCGTAATATGCACTATCTCAATGCATTACTATTAGGCAATTTATATTTCTTAGAAAAGCTATCTGGCCTTGTCTAATATTCATTGATGAAATTAATTTAATATAAAAGTCCTGAATTTTAAAGTCCTTTCCAGAATTATTTTTGCAGAAATCATCTTTAGGACTGCTGTTGTTACATCTATCACAAGATCATATGATATAGTTCAGAGTAAAAAGCATTAGCCTTTGAGATTAAGCTGCTTGGTCAATGAGAAGGTCTTATGTATTTGGAAATCTGGCTGAAAACTTAATGCAGAATTTGAACTGTTTCTGATGAGTTTCACCTGGCCCATTTGGCTGACAATTCATCATGTCTACTACCTGCATCATTCAAATTTCTTTTGAAGGAGGACATTGATAAATGTTTTTATAACTTAATATCTTTTTCATAGCAGTGGTAGCCAAAAATCATTGACCTGGTGAATGGAAATAAATGACTTTAGAAATATGTTTATATCTGATAAAGGCTTCAACATTGGGCCATTGGCACTGAATAGTCTTACTAATAACAGTGCTTACAGAAATATGTTTGTGCATGTGTGTATATATATATGTACATATATGTACATGTGTGTTTTCAACATAACACATATAGACATATATATCTGAATTTCTATTGCTTTTTTAACTTTAATACCCCTCACATAATTATTTTGGCTTATGTATCTGTCTCCTAGATCAGCAGTCTTCAAATTTGACTTGGATTACACATTTCATCAACAAATATTTTAAAACAAATGTCCTTTCTCTTTGCATTTATTTTACAAATGATTTGTATGACACTAAAATGTATATTACAAACAGAGGAAGATCAATTACAAAAGATATTTCACTTTTCCTGTTAACACCGTAGAAAAGCTTATACATTTTTTTCTATGTGATTCAAAAATTTTGAAAATTTTTATTTTATATTTTGTAATAAATTATTTCAAAGCTCTGATCTCGGCTCCTTTTATTTTGTTGCTTGGCTTTAATGGCTATCGCAATGGATGTAGCTGATGGTCTGCATTTATTCTCCTTTCCTTCAAATCTTATATAGGTACTTCGAGTCAGCACAAATATGTTTAATTAACAAACAAAACCTTAGCCTCAAGGAAATTTGGGAAATTAAATTTTCAGTTTGCTAGGTTTTGCAGTACAATAAAATACGCTTGAGATGAAACTATAATGATGAAATAGGTTTGTTGACACTGAGCCCACTGTGCGATAGACACAGATCAAAACTCCATCTTTTTATGTTTTCTGCTGGTTTCAATGATGTCAACAGTAAATGGTGTTAGAATATTAGAAATTCCTTACATTATGTAGAGGAGGAATCCAAAGACATAAGGAGGTAAGACTTTTTTTTTTTTTTTTTTGACAGAGTCTTGCCCTGTTGCCCAGCTGGAGTGCAGTGGCATGATCTTGGCTCACTGCAACCTCCGCCTCCCGGGTTCAAATGATACTCCTACCTCAGCTTCCCAAGTAGCTGGGATTACAGGTGCCCATCACCACACCCAGCTAATTTTTGTATTCTTAGTAGAGACGGGGTTTCACCATGTTGGCCAGGCTGATCTCAAACTCCTGACCTCGTGATCCACCTACCTCAGCCTCCAAAATGCTGGGATTACAGGCATGAGACACCACACCTGGCTGGAGATAAGACTTTTTAATTGATTTTTACTGTGAGACTCTTTTATCTTCACCTTTACCATGTAACCAGAAGAGGGCCCAAGGACACTCCCTTAACCAAAGGCTGGAATATATATTGGCTATGTAAGTACACATTTTTTTGAAAAGTGCTTGAGAAGAAATGTTATCTTTAGTAGGCCTATGATGAAGACTTTGAAACATTCTGGTTTTGGAACATGCTTCCCAGTTTAGGGTATGATGAAATCTCCAGTGTCAGTAATTAATCACCAGAAAAAAGTGATCTTTTGCTGAAAAAAATAATAATCACAAGTCTGACCCATAGGAATCTTTGTTAGTGCTTAATTGAGCATGAGATTCCCTTAGACTCTAGCAAATGGATACTTGTAAACTCTTGTTTAAGCTATCCAGCCCCTAACAAACAAGCACATCTAGATCTACAAATGAAGCTATGGGTTGAGTCACTTGATTGAGAGTCATTGTCACTCTTTCAATTCCAAGACATGACCCAGTTCATAAATCCTTACAGAACAACACTAAGACATTGAAACAAGTACATACACATTGTACAAGTTTTCCTCTTTGCTTTCTCAAAGACATCTGCAGCCATTTATTAGAACAATTGGGGAAAAAAACATCAAGTAATTGTAGGAATTATTGACCACTGGTAGTGAACTATGTAAATCTCTGAGGACATAAAACATAACCATGGGGGCTTTTAGAGATCAAGGGTTAAGTGGAGTTGGGGCCCAAGTCTGTCTGACAGTGGGTCCCAGTGTCTTCAAATATACCCAGAAATGTCCCTCCCCACTTGACTTGCAGAAACTATGAGAGGTAATAAAATGATTATTGTTCTTTTAAGCCACTAAAATTTAGAGTGATTTGTCACACGACAAGACAATCCAAACACTTGGTAAGATACTTGCCTGTCAAAGGTGGAATACAAACACAATGAAAATGATTATGCCTGGTTTCTGAAAGCCTGGCAATAACAGGCAAACTTGGCTGCTGGCAGATTTCCTACAATAACTCTTCTGACAAAGGAAGTAAAGACTATTATGGTAGGAAGAGTCAAACATACAAGTTTGGAATTACACTTCTAACTAGAAAAGTTAAATTTAAGCAATACTGAACCCAAGGTAAATTTCAGCCAACATCCAAAAATATAAATGCATCGGAAATATAGATTTTCTTCCCATCTAGGAGAATAATAGGAAACTATGGTAAACCAATCAGGTGGTGATTTAAATTATGTCTCTTGTTCCAGGTGCAATCTCTTTTCTAAAGCAAAAAACTCTGCTCTGTTCTTGCTATGTAACGGTTATTTTTCAAGAAAAAAATATATAATTATGCTAATAAATAGGGTACTAGAAACAATCTACTTTCACCTGAAAGGCATAGTAGTATTCTTTTGCAATATCACTTCAGGGCAAGGCCAACTATCCTACAGAATGTCATAATCTAAACCGTGATTGTCCCATCATTCCACATCACTCTGGCCCTCTATATTAATTTCATGCTACAGCACCTCTGCAGCAGACATTAGTAGATACCCTTGATACTCAGTTTGAAAGATTGTATTTTCCCCAAATGGCTCAGCTATTGGGTCGGCTTTTCTAACAGCTTCAACCAAAAAAGCACATCAGAAGGTGTTCTGAGTCCTACAAGGTTAGGTTATTGTATTAGTCTGTTCTCACACTGCTAAAAAAGACATACCCAAGACTGGGTAATTTATAAAGGAAAGAGGTTTAATTGACTCACAGTTCTACATGGCTAGGGAGGCCTCACAATCACGGAGAAGAGAAAAGAGGAGCAAAGTCACATCTTACATGGTGGCAGGCAAGAAAGAGCTTGTGCAGGGGGAACTCTTCTTTACCAAACCATCAGATCCTGAGACTTATTCACCATCACAAGAACATGGGAAAGACCCATCCCCATGATCCAATTACCTCCCACTGGGTCCCTCCCATGAAATGTGGGAATTACGGGAGTCACAGTTCAAGATGAGATTTTGGGTGGGGACACAGTCAAACCATATTAGTTATGCAAGAGCAAATGGCTTTCATTTTAGTCAGTAGAATCTTTGTGCTTGATACTTCCATCTTTCATATAAATGGAAAGATTGTCCTGCTGGAGGGAAGTGGAAGGATCATACAGAGTGTCCTGAGATTCTATGAAGAGAGAAATGCCCAGCCTTCCTCCAGATGCCTCAGCTCCTCATCTTTCTCTGACCACAGCTACAGCAGAGGCCCTGAGTCACAAGTACCCAGCCAAGACCTTCTCATTTGACATGCAGAAAACGTGAGAGGTAATACAATGATTGTTGTTTTCTTAAGCTACCACAATTTAGTGATTTGTTACAGACCAATAGACAACCCAAACACCCATTGAGATACATGCCTGTCAAAGATGGAATACAAACACAACAAATATTTATGTGCCTGTTATCCCTGAGAAATTTCTGTCACTCCTATAGTTCAGGGCATGTCAGAATATTACATCTAAAGGGAAAGACAAGTTTCTAAATTTTGCACAACTCTTACCACATAAAACAGGAACTCTGAGGCTTTTCAAGGAAACAATTTATCACATTTGGGAGCAGCTAAACCAGGTTCCATTTAAGCACCTCTATTTATTTCTTGGACTTTATGTCATAGCTGACCCACACTTTTCAAATTCTCTATGGTAAATTAAGATACTCTAGGGTTATTGTGGAAAGTCCCATTAAGATAAATTAAGATAATCATGGTGCAGGCCTCTTGGGTTTTGGAGCAGAGTTGTACCTTCTTCCAAAAATACTTATTTTTTTTTCTTCAGAAATAGCCTGTGGCTTGTTATTAAGTCCTAGAGATATCAATGTCCATGCAAATTGAGCTTTCATCATAAACAGGGTATCCTGTGACCCACTGAGCCATAAATTTGAGAAGTTGATTTTTGTAAATTATTAAATTAGATTTCAGCAGGTACTGAAAGCACCAGAATATTGCATGGTCATTTGGCACATAGTCTTAATGCAGCTACTTTTGCTGCCATGTGTACAACTCCCTCACCCTACAACTGTGTCCTCACGGGGACTGAGAAAAATAGTCTAGCCTGATTTAAAGACATGTCTGTACAATGAACTGGAATCAGTCTGAAGTGGGAGGTTGCAGGTTTATAACCTTACCTGAGGGATATCCCTGAAGTGCAGCGATGAAGGGAAATTCTCCCAGTAGTCAGAAAATCAAGTGATACATCTGGGTCGCCCACATTGCCTAGAAGGAGACACAAGCACAGATGTGGCCTGAAAGCTATAAAAAAGAAGATTCAAGGACTAGTGTCAGTAGGAAAGAAGCAGAAAAGAAACATGTTAATGGAACTGTAAAAAGTGACCCAGAGCATGGGAATATTTATACTCCATGTACATATTCTCCAAGGGAATTCCTGGAGGTTCTTGAGACCATTGCAGATGGTCCACAAAGTAAAAACTATTTTTGTAATAATATCAGGATGTTATTTGTAGTTTTCACTCACATGCTTTCACAAGTGTAGAGTTTTCCAGAGGGCACATGATATGTGATATATTAACATACTGAACGTAGAATCAGCTGTGAGATTCTAGCTGCCTTCTAGTGAGTCAGAAATTAAGGAGATTTGCAGAAATGTAAAATAATGCCAGGCTTGTCAGCCACTTTTTTATTTTTCATAAAAATATATTACTTATGTTAATATAAAATAGAATTCATATTGCTATATTTAAATGAATTAAAAATACATTTCAAAAAGTTTCAATTTTCTATTAAATACCAATAGACAGAATTCATACAAATTATAGTGTTGTAGATCCACAATACTTTTTAAGAGAATGAAGGGGTCCTGATACCAAAAGTTCAAGAACCACTGAACTAGTCTGTCCCTTGCCTTGTTGTATTTCTTTATGCTTTCTGGTCCTTTTTCCTAAGGGTTTGTCCATTAAATTGCACTCTATTAAATTTTTTTTTTCATTTTTTTTATTGCATTTTAGGTTTTGGGGTACATGTGATGAACATGCAAGATTGTTGCATAGGTACACACATGGCAGTGTGCTTTGCTGCCTTCCCCCCTCACCTGTATCTGTCATTTCTCCCCATGCTATCTCTTCCCACCTCCCCACCCGCCGCCCCTCCCCCATGCGTTAGTTTCTGCATTCTGAGTTCTAACTCGATTGCACTGTGGTCTGAGAGACTGTTTGTTATGATTTCTGTTCTTTTGCATTTGCTGAGGAGTGATTTATTGCTAATTATGTGGTCAATTTTAGAGTAGGTGTGATGTGGTGCTGAGAAGAATGTATATTCTGTGGATTTGGGGTGGAGAGTTCTGTAAATGTCTATTAGGTTTGCTTGTTTCAGGTCTGTATTCAGGTCCTGGATATCCTTGTTGATTTTCTGTCTAGTTGATCTGTCTAATATTGACAATGGGGTGTTAAAGTCTCCCACTATTATTGTGTGGGAGTCTAAGTCTCTTTGTAAGTCATTAAGAACTTGCCTTATGTATCTGGGTGCTCCTGTATTGGGTGCGTATATATTTAGGATCGTTAGCTCTTCTTGTTGCAGTGATCCTTTGTCTCTTTTGATCTTTGTTGCTTTAAAGTCTATTTTATCAGAGATGAGAATTGCTACTCCTGCCTTTTTTTGCTCTCCATTTGCTTGGTAGATCTTCCTCCATCCCTTTATTTTGAGCCTTTGTGTATCCTTGCATGTAAGATGGGTTTCCTGGATACAGCACACTGATGGGTTTTGGCTTTTTATCCAATTTGCCAGTCTGTGTCTTTAGATTGGGGTATTTAGTCCATTGACATTTAGGGATAGTATTGTTATGTGTGAATTTGATGCTGTCATTTTGATGCTACCTGGCTGTTTTGTTGGTTAGTTGATGCAGATTCTTGATTGTGTTGATGCTCTTTTACCATTTGGTGTGTTTTTGGAGTGGCTGGTACTGGTTGTTCCTTTATATGTGTAGAGCCTCTTTCAGGAGTTCTTGTAGAGCAGGTTTGGTGGTGATGAAATCTCTGAGTGCTTGCTTGTTCACAAAGGATTTTATTTTTCCTTCACTTATGAAGCTGAGTTTGGCTGGATAGGAGATTCTGGGTTGAAAGTTCTTTTCTTTAAGGATGTTGAATATTGGCCCCCAATCTCTTCTGGCTTGTAGGGTTTCTGCTGAGAGATCTGCTGTGAGTCTAATGGGCTTCCCTTTGTGGGTAACCCGACCTTTCTCTCTGGCTGCCCTTAGCATTTTCTCTTTCATTTCAACCCTGGTGAATCTGATGATTATGTGCCTTGGGGTTGCTCTTCTTGAGGAATATCTTTGTGGTGTTCTCTGTATTTCCTGGATTTGAATATTGGTCTGCCTTGCTAGGTTGGGGAAGTTTTCCTGGATAATATCCTGAAGAGTATTTTCCAGCTTGGATTCATTCTCTTCATCACATTCAGGTACACCTATCAGACGTAGATTAGGTCTTTTCACATAGTCACACATTTCTTGAAGATTTTGTTCATTCCTTTTTGCACTTTTTTCTCTGTTCTTGCCTTCTCTTTTTATTTCATTGAGTTGATCTTCGACCTCTGATATCCTTTCTTCTGCTTGGTCAATTCGGCTGTTGAAGCTTGTGCATGCTTCACGAAGTTCTCGTGTTGCGTTTTTCAGCTCCATCAATTCACTTATACTCCTCTCTATGCTGTCCATTCTCGTCAGCAGTTCGTCCAATCTTTTTTCAAGGTTCCTATTTTCTTTGCGTTGGGTTAGAACATGTTCTTTTAGCTCATTGTAGTTTCTTACTACCCACCTTCTGAAGTCTGATTCTGTCATTTCATCACCCTCCTTCTCCATCCGGTCTGGTTCCCTTGCTGGTGAGGAGTTGTGATCCCTTTTAGGAGGAGAGGTGTTCTGGTTTCGGGAGTTTTCATCCTTTTTTCGCTGGTTTCTTCCCATTTTTGTGGGTTTATCCACCTGTTGTCTGTCTCTGTCCCAGGGAGTTGGAGCTTTATGAGTTTCCGTTGCACTACTGCCTTTTTTGATTTTTCTTTCAGGTCGGACCCGCCCAGCTAGCAGCACGCCTAGCCACTGCCTGCCCACAGCGGCTTTGCTGAGCTGCTGTGGGCTCCGCGCAGCTGCCCTGAGCTCTTCCCTGTAGTCCTTTTTATATGGGCATAGTTAGAACTGTCTCGGCAATGGTGGCCCCGCCTCTGTTATGGTGGACTCTCTCTGTTGTGGCAGGTTGCCTCGGCAACGGCGGGTTGCCTCGGCAACGGCAGCCTGCCTCCGTAGCGGTGGAGAGTCTCAGTAATGGCGGAAGCCCCTCCCCCACGGAGCCGGACCGCCCCGGTTCAGCTGTGCTTGGTTTGAAGGGCTCAACCCAGAGGGTTTCCAATTACTGTTTTTGTTTTCGTTGTTGTTGGGGGTGGAGGGGTGGGACCAACCGAGCCTGATCACCTGGCTCCCTAACTCAGAGTCTTTTAAGTTGAACGACCCCGCGTTCCGCTCGCTTGTTGAAAAGGCGCCGGGATCTCCCGTGCTGCGACTCACGGAGTCGGCTCGCAAACTGCGGCGCCGGCTCGTGGCGGACTTTTTGCCTAGGAATCTCCTGGCCTGACTCGCTATTTCAGATGAATGGGCAACTCTGCCGTCTCAGGGCTCTGCTGGCCAGCTAAGAGGGCTCCCAGACCAGTGGCTTTTGTACGGAGAACCGCAGCAACAGGGAGTGGTCACAGCAGCCGCGCAGGCGGAATTAGCCCCGCGGGGGCCAAAACAGCCACACCGGCTGGGACTGCGACGCTGGCGACCCCTCTGCCTGGGTATCTCCTGGTCTGTGGGCAATAAGAGTTCGTCTGGAAATGCGGCGTCCACTCACCCTCTGCACTTTCACTGGGAGCTGAAGTCCTGCGCTGTTCTTAGGCGGCCATCTTCCCAGCATTCCTCCACTCAATTAAATTTTAACCACTTCTTCAACTTATCAAGGCCATTTGAATCTAGATCTTGATGATTAGAGTTCCACCCATTCTCTTTTCCCCCATTTTGATGATTCTGTAAGTTAAAAGAGCTGCTCCCTATTCACCAGATAGCATTTTGATGAAAATCACCTGACACAGAGGAATCATGGCTGAGATCATTATTTTTCATCATCATTCACCAAATTGTGATGCATCAATCCTACACTTATGCAGGCCACATTTGCCAACATTATTACTCATCAGTTTTCTTGGGACAAGAACAAAAGCTACAACAAAGTCATACTGGCTATACCAGACTGTAAACTTTAAATATCTCAGGTTTCTCTATTAAACTAGGTCATTGGCAGGACTCAAACTCCAAATTCTTTCTTTTGTGCCAGGCAGCAATGGGAACCTGTGCTCAGATTTTTTCTTAGCCTTCCAGCTGTTGCCTTCTGCTGGATTGTGTTGTTTTCTTTGGGTATACACAATTCAGGGTTCAGACAGGATTTAAAGATCATTATTTGTAATTTGGAGGCTCCCCACCCATATGCCTACAGTGACATCCTTCACAGGATTTTTCTCCCTTAATTTCCAGGTTCTCTGAAAGCCTCAAACAGCCTTCTCTAACACTGTTAAGCCATAAGAATGTTGCTTTCTGTGAGTTCTAAGCATTCTGGGCTACAGACAAAGAAAGGTCCTAAGAGAAAATTTCTATAAATGTAGATCTCAGCCACTACAGTTCCCTCCTTCATATGCCACCTCCTCCCAAGCCCCAGTGCCTGTCTGTTTTTAGGTGTTCTTGATGCCTTGAAATAGATTTACATTTTGAACTGAATTTATATTAATTACCTGTGCAGGGGTTGATTCAGTATGAGATAATCCACCATTATCAGATCACCATTTGATTTGTAAAAATAATTCATTTTATTTATATGTCAAGTCCCTGGGCTAATAAGTGCCTGTGAATAAGATATTTCCTTTAAAATTTATAACCAAATTTTATAATTAAATCAAAGTTATGAGTTAAAGTCATTATTAATTATAGCTTAATTGTGTTAACTCTTACGAAAACACACATACATTCTTAAAGACAGAAAACTGTTTCTATGAGGACCAAATAATAAGTAGTGTTTCTTGTGGGAAATTAATAGTTGAGGGAATTCTGACTCTCAACTTTACTCTTAGCATTCTTTTTTATTTTTGAGACAGAGTTTCGCTCTTGTCACCCAGGATGGGGTGCAATGGCACGATCTCAGCTCACTGCAGTCTCTGTCTCCCAGGTTCAAGTGATTCTCCTGAATCTCCTG